TGCAATTAATCTGTCAAAGTGCTATGCTACAACTTGGTAAACGGGAGTTTTTAATGGTAAAGCTACCAAGAGCAACTGAATGTTTGTACAAAAAAATTTATTCGGTAGATGCCACTCCTTCTAACAGCGTTACAAGACACGGCGCCACCCCCTCGTAGACTGAGATTGATGCCTTGTACGCGAAACCAATCAAGAAGAAACACAGACAGCAGAGTAAAACAACCGTGTTTATCGCTCCCACCTAGTGGCGTAAGTAGGACACTTGCGCCAACCTGGGTTTTCCACATTTAGGACCCGTGAAGATCCGGGTTAGAATTGATCTCCAGTAACCCATGCTTGCCGTAAGAAGCGACTAACGGGATTGGGTGCTCAGGCTCTGTGTAGATTGATGCTCATGCTGTTGATCACTGGATTGTCTGGTTCAGACTCGATTATTTACATACCGCCGCCATAAAGCTGGAATGGTGCTGAGTGCGGCGTAAAACTTAACTGACTCGCTCACTTTCAACATTAAGCTGACACCCGGCAATAAGGTGGAATACTGCTCGAAAAGGCTTAAAGACAAACTTATCCTTTCCCCTACAGGGGAGAACCATTTCTTGTTAATACCTTTTTTGGCTAGTTTCTTGTTTGTGGGAGGAGTTCATCCTTTTATTTCAGTCCGTTAAATGGACTTTGTGTGCCTCGATATAATTCTGAGTATTCTGCAGGAATGTCGATAGTGCTGTAGTGTGATAAAATAGTTTAACTTTTCTCTATATAACACCGAGTATTCCCTATCAATGTTGCCAGTATTCATTGACATGGTTTCCTTGATCAATATTTATATGTGTGTACGAATGCTATCAATATGTTGCTACCTCTGATTGATGGGGTGTGGAGCTCTGCTTCTCTATAAGAGTTAACGTATGTCCGACGAATGTAACTGATACCCCCAACAGAATGTAACTGTGGTTGAGGCAGGGGATGTTTTAATGGTGCGTTGAAACATATGCCCAAAATTAATTGTTGGTAGTGGATCATACCCGAACGTCATTTTTGTGTTGTGGTGTCAGTGCATAGTTCAAACTCTTCCCCACTCGACTAAAGTTACAAATATAATATATGTTGTACTACTGTTACTGCTCCTTAACGAACCTGGCGTTTCCCTGCATACCAATGAGCATCGTGTACGAATGTTAAATTATTTCGTTGTTTTTACGTCTGTTATATATTTCTGCGTGTAGTTTAAGCAAGTTCATATTTTGAAAAGCAACGGGGTCATCTAAAACAACGTCCTTCGTAAATTTTTTACCAGATCTGTTAACATTGTTTGTCTTTGATCAAATGAGATGTTTTATTTCTCCGATCTAGAACCAGCAACATAACAGGAGATGTTTGTTGACGAAGACACCGAATCCCGGAAATACGACATACACACTGAGCTTGTTTCAAACAGCAGAGTTGTTTACACCTAGTGGAATCTGTTTCTGTAGACAGTCGAGACTGAATATTATTTTGCCACTTCACGTACATGCACACGCACGCACGCGCACACACACACACACGCGCACACACACACACACACACACACATATTTATCCCGTGTTTTACATCTTGCGCATCGATTTAAGCAATCGGGATACGATGACATGTGTCAACCAAGTCAGTGAGCCTGACCACCCGATCCCGTTAGTCGCCATTTATGCCAAACATGGATTGCTGAAGACCAGTTCTAACCCGGATCATCACGGGTAAGCACGTCAACAGTGAGTGAGTTAGTGAGTATGGTTTTACGCGGCATTTAGCAACATGCACACACACACGCACAAATAGCGAAGGAACATGTACACAAACACAGAACATGTAGACACATGCATACCCTGACAGAACATGCACACACACGATACACTGACAGAACATGCACACACACGATACACTGACAGAACATGCACACACACGGTACACTGACAGAACATGCACACACACGATACACTTACAACATGCACACACACGGTACACTGACAGAACATGCACACACACGGTACACTGACAGAACATGCACACACACGGTACACTGACAGAACATGCACACACACGGTACACTGACAGAACATGCACACACACGGTACACTGACAGAACATGCACACACACGATACACTGACAGAACATGCACACACACGATACACTGACAGAACATGCACACACACGATACACTGACAGAACATGCACACACACGATACACTGACAGAACATGCACACAGACGATACACTGACAGAACATGCACACACACGCATAGACTGACAGAACATGCACACACACGATACACTGACAGAACATGCACACACACACGATACACTGACAGAACATGCACACACACACGATACACTGACAGAACATGCACACACACGATACACTGACAGAACATGCACACAGACGATACACTAACAGAACATGCACACACACGCATAGACTGACAGAACATGCACACACACGATACACTGACACAACATGCACACACACGCATAGACTGACAGAACATGTACACATGCATGCACAATGTATATACCATTGAGTGTACATGTGATAGGTGTGTGTCCAGTAGGTGTATATGAACACACACACATACACTGACAAATACACATGCATGCATAATGTATATACCATTGAGTGTACATGTGATAGGTGTGTGTCCAGTAGGTGTATATGAACACACACACATACACTGACAAATACACATGCATGCATAATGTATATACCATTGAGTGTACATGTGATAGGTGTGTGTCCAGTAGGTGTATATGAACACACACTACATGTTTTCGTCGAACTTTGTCCATTACGAAGTACAATTAGTGGTCCTTTGGTGTTCATAATAACCGTTTAGTACTGTACGTCAATGCTAATGGTTAATCAATGCCACTGAATTTTGATTATGCCAGTTATTTAGCAAATAGTGACGTTAAGCATTGTCACGCCGTGGTGCTGACCTAGGGAGTGAGTGAGTGAGTTAAGATTTAAAGTCACATCGGCAATATTTCAGCCATATCGTGACTAAAACTTGTTCTAAATTTATAACACACACATATAATATATAAAACCCTGTCAACGAAGGACAGTAAAATAACTAGAGTATCACAGATGGAGTCTAAAACTAGCATGAACATGTAAAACTATTTTAATTACGAAAACAATACAATATAAAAACGGGCTATAGATCGTCAACAACTGAAGGTAGATCACCATACTAAGGCCCATGGGGACTTACATTACTTTTGCTACCTGCATGGACCCTAGCTGGATTTACACCATCCCTTCAGCCATTGGCGTTGATGCTCAGATTTATGTCTGACCTAGGGAACTAAATATATCCTACATAGAGTTCCTTGGAATCTGTTAGACATTACCGTGGAATGAGGATGTAAAGGCCAAGCGTTCTGCATTTGATATTAATCTAGACGGCGTAAAGCAATCTATGGCCAAATAATGTGAATGTGTAAACGTACTTCTCAATAGAATGTTAAACAAAATTCAAGATTAATGTTTGCACTGTGCTCGCGGCCTTTACATAACACCGAACAACCGTCTAAGTGATAATACGATGTGTTCTGCTTTCCTTCTGCAAATATTATTTCCATTCATTAAGCATGTAAAAGTTAAAGTAACGCCAAGGCACTGGAGTTCACCTTCGTACGGATGACACTTCGGAAGGTGTATATGTTTGATAACGACTTCTCAATCAGAATCCGTCAACACGTGACACAATTTTATGTAGCTTTCATAGAAATGAGGACGAAACACCACAGAGTATGTGTACATAGACAAGCGTAGGCGCATGGCAAACATGATCAGGCAAATTTGTTGTACAACAAGCTTCTCTGAAGATGAAGCAAACATGTTATTATTGCGGCTGATGTAGATCGGGGGGACGAGCGCACTGGGGATGCCTTCGGGAAGCGTGTGGATTAGTCCCATTAAATGAAATGCTTTATGTGTTCCGGATTTGTTTGAAACATGGCGTCAAGCAAGGAGCCTGTGTAGACCCGCGTCGTTCACTAAATAACCATCATGTCCATCACAACAATGATAATTGTATGGAGTGTACTGGTGATTCACACAAGAGGTAAGTGCATAAATGGTTGATTTTAGTCCTTGGAGACCGTTTGCTATTCAAAGGGGCGTTGACTCTTTTCTGAAATACTGAGAATGTTTATTGTGTATTGACTGACTGACTGAGTTTAGTTTTACGCCGCTTTTAGCAATATTCCAGCAATATCACGGCGGGGGACACACCAGGAAATGGGCTTAACACATTGTGCCCATGTGGGGAATCGAACCCGGGCCTTCGGCGTGACGAGCGAACGCTTTAACTACTAGGCTACCCAAGCCCCTTGTGTATTGAAGGACAATTAATACTTTATACTGGATGTGAAGGATAATTGTAGCATGCACAACATTCATTTCGAATAAAACTACAGTGTTCTGAAGCAGTAAGCAAACTAATGTTAAGTCACAACAAATGAGTTAACCGACCTCTCTCCACAACTGAGAATGTAAGTCGGATCATAGTAAAATATATTGTTTCGGTAAATTTCTTAATTTGTAGATTTTTGTTACAGGGAAAAAAAGCAGACATGTCATTTCAAGTAGAAAAAGTCACATGCTCGTAATAAAAGTCCCATATCCTCACAATTAAGAAGACTATAAATACCTGTTTTATATCCTTTTCAAGGTGATAGACCGTTTTTGACTATTGACCCTTCAAGGATTGAGGAACATTCGACAGTGACATTCATCTGCACGACTACAGAAAAATATATCTGGTATATCAACTAGAAGAGGAACGCAAAGGATATCTTTGGCATGGGCCGAGATACAGGTTTGGCCAAAACAAATGATGACTTTGAGAACTTGAAGGATCGAATCGTGTACAGCATAAACCCGGGGAAACAGTTCAACGTGACCTTGGCTTCTGTGACGGAAGCGGATCATGGGTCATCGTGGACGTGTCGAGTCAGAGGGGAAGACAGCAACTCGATAATCTTGGTGGTTGGAGAACAGCCTTTGGGTAATGTATTAACACTGTCTACCTAATTTTCATGTGCTAGATGCAAGTGGGTGGAAGCATGGGTGACCCAATTGACTGTGCGGTGATGCAATAATTTGGAGTGCTAAATTGGGTCTGATGAGACAGTCCTTGAGAGTGAGTTAGGTTTAACGCCGTTTTTAGCAATCTTCAAGCAATATCACGGCGGGGGACACCGGAAATGGGCTTCACACATTGTATCCATGTGGGGAATCGAACGCGAGTCTTCGGCGTTACGAACCATGAGGCTCACCCCCGCCGAAACACATCAAGAGTGGTAGGGCAGTCAGTATTAGTGTCATGAGACCTGAATCGCGAATTGCGTAGATTTGGTTAGGATAATTTGGGTTTTGCAGTTGACCGTTTCCATGCCATTGTAACGTCATTGATTACTATGACGTCATATTCAAATGGCTTACTATTCATTCTGCCACTAAAACTGACCGGTTGTAAATGGTACCCTTGTGACACAGGGTATTACTGTTCAGAAACAAACATAAGTTGGACAAATGATATTGTATGGAATCCGAGAAGGGACATTGTCGAGTTGACGCCTTGTCCCGTTGTCGCCCTCTCAAAAACAAGCAAAATGAGGCAAAATTAACCAAAGCGCGACAATGCGACAACGCGACATTTTGCCCATTTGTCGCATTGTCGCGATTTGAATAATATTGTTTCTATTCCTCCAAACGGCGACAATGCGACAATTTTCAACGTCAAAATATGTCGCGTTGTCGCATTGTCGCCCTATCTAAGATGTGTAAAACAAAGCCTAAAAAATGACTAAAACGTCGCCCTTTTCGATTCCCGTGCGCATGCGTAAAAAGTCAATTAAACTACGCATGCGCAGCAAAAGTTATACTCTATTTCACACTTCAGTGATCTTTTGTTTCCTCCAATGGTTTTTGAAATGAAGTAGTACTCGTAATGGTAATGGGGGCTGCTTTTCTTGAACCTAATGGTAATCTTTAATTGTTGCTTTGAAAATTATTTATATATTGTATATGTATTTAGCCAATCAAGTGTGTTTTAGTAGCAAGACAAATTATTAGCGCTAGTATTCAATGTTTTGACGGCACACGGTGGCCCTGTCATTCAAGGCGGGGCAATTTGTTGTGCAGAGTTGTGTCTCTTAGTCACACCAGAAAACTATGATCATAGGTTCGAATCCCAGCACCATACACATTCATCACTTTGGAACCCGTGAAGGTCCGGGTTAGAATGTGCCTTCAGTAACCCATGCTTGTCGTAAGAGACCACTACCGGTCAGGCTCGCTGACTTGGTTGACACAAGTCATCGGTTCCCAATTGTGCAGATCGATGGTCATGCTGTTGATCACTGGATTGTCTGGTCCAGACTCGATTATTTACACACCGCCGCCATATAGCTGGAATATTGCTGGGTGCGTCCTAAAACAACTCAGTCACTCACTCACTTTGGACATTTCACCCATATCAAGCTGACAGGTTGTGAAAAAACTCAAATATTGTTAAAATTCAGGCCACATCGGCAGCAACGTCAGGTGATGTTCTCGAATGGGTCACTATGTTCGTCAGTTTGGCTCCTGACAGAGTTTTTTTGGTATAGTCCTGTCCGACGCTGATGAAGTTGCCTCTGTTCAGCCAGCAGTGGATGGATACCAGGCAGAATGAAATGGTAATATCACTTAACCATCCAGCACCTCAAAGACAGTTTAGGTCGGCTTTGAACGTGATATTTTTCTTGGGAAAACGCCATACAAATGGACTGTTATCATTATGATATTACAAACGGTAAATTCGCGTACCCTTGGTGTGCCAGACACCAACCCTCCCTCCTTCCCTCACTCACTCACTCCGCACACTCCACTCACTCACTCACTCACTCTACGGCACCCATGAAAGGCCACCTCCTCGTGGTGGGTGCTGGGTCACGCTAAGCGCCTTTCAACCCCCCGTTGTGGACCCGGGGGGGATATTTTGGTCCACCAACCTGTTGGCCGTGGGTTGCGCCCCTGTGTCGGTGGAGGAAGGGATTCTGGTGGTTGAGGGCACAGGTTCCAGGAACAGTGTTCCTTTGCCCAACACACCATTCGGCCCTAACTTCACCTAGACGGGTGGTAGAATGGGCCCGGTTCTACCAATCGGCCGGTCATGTCGAGCCCTGTGCATTAAATTGTATCTCCACAAATATTATATTATGTACTACGTTTTTGACTTTAGGTCTTGACTCATTTCGTTTATAAAATATCAGTTGATTTTGAAATATGTACAATTTATATTGCCTAGAGTCTTATGCCCAGAAGGCGATGGCTCATGGGCCAATCTGGTAGATTGATTACTTGTTTAATCTTTCTGCTTGAGTATATCATCCGGGTATCCTTGGTGCTGCAAGTCGGAGATCCACTTGTATATAGCATTGTCCTTGTGATACTCCGTGGTGGGTGGGGAGCTCGGATGATGAATCTTAGAAACACTAACCATGGCTTATGAAACCCCTACCAAAAAAACAAAACGTCCTCTTGAAAATAATTCTGATGATGATGACCTTAGACCGTCCAAATCAATTGACTTTTGGCCACGCTTTCTTGTGATCGAAACTCTCGACAAAACACCATTAAAGTTGAACCCTTTCGCGGTTTCCAAGGGTATTCAAGGTATTGCCGGCGAAGTAAAGAACATTAAACGGTTACGTTCAGGTGCGTTACTGGTTGAGTGCGGGAAACGGCATCAATCAGCCAATCTGTTGACCACTGAATCGTTTGTCGGCATTCCAGTCGTTGTATCTGCTCACAGGACATTAAACACAAGCAAAGGTATCATCAGAGATCGTGATCGGTTGTTTTCGGACATGTCAGAACTTGACATCGTTTCTGAAATGAAAGATCAAGGTGTACTCTACGTAAAACGCTTTTCAATCCGTAAAACAATGAAACTGTTCAGACAAATACTTATCTGTTTTCCTTTTCGTCACCCACTGCTCCCAAATCACTGAAAGCAGGTTATTGCAATATCAATGTTGACACCTACATTCCTAATCCGCTGAGATGCTTTAAATGCCAGAAGTATGGACATGGTGTAAATACTTGTACATTGTCTGTTGTGTGTGCTCACTGTGGTGAGAAGACACACACAACTGAAGATTGTACAAGTACCTTTAAAATGCACTAACTGTTCAGGAGAACATTCATCTTTCTCAAAAGTGTGTCCGATTTGGAAAGAGCATATGCAGATCAACAAGATCAAATTCACCCAGAACATCAGTTTTCTGATGCCAAAAACTTGTAAAGAGCTCTGAACTTACAGAAAGTTATGCTTCAATAACCAAAACACCAACTGAATCAAGCCCTAAAGTATCTACATCATCGACAAGCTGTCAAACAAACTTGACTTGGGTCAAAAGTGACAGTCCACAGTGTTTATATCCTGCTATATCATCTCAAACCACGGAATCACTTCCTAGTACATCTGAAAGGCAGGCAGAGTCATCTTCAGATCACAAGTCACTCACTCAGTCACAATCACAATCTCAATCGTCATCTGATACTCAGCAAACTGCTAAAAGCAAACATAAACAGAAGCTTGATGCTTTCAAAAACAAAGTGGCAGAGCCCCAAAGGGTCGGAAAATAGAATTCAGTTATATAACAAATACGGATCACTTGAGGACATGGACGTGTCTGAAAACGTCCATTCTAGGGCACATAGCTTGTCGCCCTCGAAAACAGTGCGGAGGTAGATCCCCAATTAATCCGCCTAAAAGATAGGTTTATCTACCAATATCGTGCAGTGGAACTGTAGAGGACTCGGACAAATTTTAATGAAATACAGCTAATTGTCCAAGATTTAACACCATCAGCGTTCTGTCTGCAAAGAGACATATCTGAAACAAACAGATCATTTTAACTTACGCCAGTTTGAAGCCTATCATTATTTTTCCCCTCCAGGTGATAGAGCTACTGGAGGTTCTACTATCCTTATACGACAGAATGTTATTCACAGCACTGTTACTCTTAATACTACTCTCCAAGCTGTTGCAGTGCGACTTACTCTGGGTGTAGCATTTACATTGTGCTCTCTGTATATTCCGCCTTCATCGAACCTTCAGCTGACTGATCTTCAATCACTTTATGATCAACTCCCAAAGCCATGTGTTATTATGGGTGACCTAAATGGTCACAACCCACTCTGGGGCAGTACAAACACTAATAGTAAAGGCAAAATAATTGAAGATTTCATTTCCAATAATGACCTGTGCATATTTAATGATGATTCAAGCACCTATCTGCATCCTGCAACTGGCACTTATTCTTCTCTAGATTTGTCTCTTGCAGATTCTACCCTCCTGAATGAATTTGATTGGTCTGTTCATAATGACCTTTGTGGAAGTGACCACTTCCCAACTATCCTTTCAGAAATAACTCCATCTGATTCTCCATCGTATACAAGATGGATCTTTTCGAAGGCGAACTGGTCTTTATATCAAACTTTATGTAAATCTAAATTGCGACCTGAATGTTTCAGTGATATAAGTGATCCCATTCAGATTTTTGCTGACGTTTTAAATGAAATAGCTGACGAGTGTATACCGAAATCCTCTACAACTCCACATGTACGGAAACCATGGTTTAATACAGACTGTAGACAAGCCAGAAAGGCGAGGAAGAAGGCAGAACATTATTTCCGCCACCATCCAACTGTCCATAATTTAAATAAATTCAAAATACTCAATGCAAAGGCACGTCGTACCTTCAAACAAAACAAACGACAATCTTGGAGGAAATATGTCTCCAATATTAACTCACGCACGCCAATGTCTAAGGTGTGGAACATGGTTCAGAGAATAAAAGGCAAAGGTTCCAAATCTGTTGTTCATCATCTTAAAGATGGTGACGATTTCATAACTGACAAATGCAACATTGCAAATAAAATTGGCGAAACTCTTGCCAAAAATTCATCATCGGCAAATTATGTCCCTGAGTTTCAGAGATATCAGAAACAACAGGAAAAGAACAAACTTAATTTCGACTCAAATAACGGTGAAGATTATAATGAAGTGTTTTCATTACATGAGCTACATACTGCTCTTGAGCAAGCTCATGACACTGCAGCGGGTGATGATAATATACATTACCAGCTATTGAAACACTTACCGGAACCATGTCTGATGACACTTTTAGAACTATTTGACAAAATATGGACGTCTGGAGAATTTCCTCCTTCATGGCGTAATGCCATTGTAGTCCCAATACCAAAACCTGGTAAGGATCATACAGATCCGTCTAATTACAGACCGATCTCTCTAACTAGCTGTGTTTGTAAAACCATGGAACGTATGGTGAATAATAGATTAACTTGGTATCTTGAAACCAATAACCTTATTACAGATATTCAATGTGGTTTCAGGAAAAATCGTAGTACCATTGATCATTTGGTACGCTTGGAATCCTTTGTTAAGAATGCTATAGAAAGTAAACAACATGCTGTATCAATTTTCTTTGATCTTGAGAAAGCTTATGATACGACCTGGAAGCATGGCATTTTGAAGGATTTACATGACTTTGGTTTGAGAGGCCGTTTGCCTCTTTTTATATCACGGTTTTTGAAAGACAGACAATTTCAAGTCCGAGTGGGTTCAACCCTGTCTGATCATTACAATCAGGATGAGGGTGTCCCTCAAGGCAGTATTTTGTCTGTCACTTTATTTAGTATCAAGATTAACAGTTTATCCAAGGTTTTAAACGATTCAATTGATGGATCACTTTTGTGGATGATTTTAACATTTCTTGTCGTGGTAAAAAAATATGCATACCATTGAACGGCAATTGCAGATGTGTTTAAATAAAATAAATAAATGGTGTCTTGAAAACGGTTTTAAATTTTCTAAATCCAAAACTAATTGTCTACACTTTTGTAGAAAATATAAACCGCATAAAGATCAGAACTATCTTTAAATGGCACTCCCATCAAAGTTGTTAAGGAGGCCAAATTCTTGGGTCTCATTTTCGACTCCCATTTAACTTTTTGCCACATATTAAATCACTTAAAGCCAAATGCCTGAAGGCACTCGATTTGTTAAAAGTTGTTTCCAACTCAAAGTGGGGAGGGATCAAGCTACCCTCCTCCACCTATATCGATCACTGGTCCGCTCGAAACTTGATTATGGCTCCATCGTATATGGTGGAGCCTGCAAAAAGCAACCTAAAACTACTTGATTCTGTTCACCACCAAGGCCTAAGACTTTGTCTTGGGTCCTTTAGAACCTCTCCTATTGATAGTCTCTATGTTGAAGCAGATGAGCCTTCTCTTATACAACGTCGGATAAAATTATCCTTACAATACGTTACTAAACTATATTCTAGCGATTCTAATCCTGCATTCAATTGTGTCTTTAATCCCCTCTATGAGGATTTATACAACAAAAAACCTTCTCTTGTTCCGCCTCTTGGGCACAGAATTAAGCCTTTCATTTCTGCTGCCGGCATTGAGCTGGAAAATATAGCTCCTTCCCGTCCTCTTTCTTCTCCTCCTTGGCAATTGGTGAGGCCACAAGTTGACTTAACATTAACCACATTTAAAAAATCAGAAACTAATGATTTACAGTATAAACAAGAATTTAGTCAATTAAGAAATAAATATAATACCTATAAATCCTTATATACAGATGGATCCAAGGATGGTGGCGCGGTTGCTTGTGCCACTGTCATTGGGTCCAAAACAATATCTTCTCGACTACCCAATGACACAATTTTCACAGCAGAAGCAAACGCAATACTAACAGCTCTTAAATATATTAATAAACACCGTAAATATAAACAATATATCATCTTTTCAGATTCTCTTTCGTGTCTTCAGGCTATTAAAAATCTTTCTTGCAAACATCCACTTTTATTAGAAATTATTGAATTGTACAATGAACTTGCTACTGGCCAATGCGACATCGTCTTTTGTTGGTTACCCAGCCACGTTGGCATTTCTGGGAACACAATGGCTGATATTGCTGCTAAGGCAGCACTCAACAAATCTGTGACACCACTTCTGATCCCATACTCTGATTACAAAGCTGCTATACGATCTTGTATCCGTGATCTGATGCAAAAAGAAGTGGGACACCCAAGTAGGTATCAATAAATTACATGAAATAAAACCCTATATCGGTTACACTTACTTGGGTTGTCAGTCCAGATTTGAAGAGGTCATTATGCGACGATGTCGTATTGGCCACACACGATATACGCATGAATACCTATTGAAAGGTGAGGATCCTCCGTTTTGTATCCCTTGTGATGAACGAATCACGGTCAAGCATGTCTTGCTTGACTGTGTTGAGTACTCCATCACAAGGGATAAGTATTTTAATGTCAAAACATTGAAGGATCTTTTTTTATAATGTTAATTATCATTTAATAGTTGAATTTTTAAAAGAATTAGATTTGTTAACAGATTTGTAAATAGATAAATATTTTATTATTGGTAATTAAATTAGTAACTGAGATTGTTAGTGGCTGTACCCTCAAAGGGGGTTGAAGTAGTGTAAAATTATTGTCCTCCTGAGAGGGTACGTAAGTCCCAAAACATTTCAAGTCAGTTTAAGTGTACCAGGTTTTTAATCGTAGTATATTTGTGTTTTTAATGTATGGCTAGATTTCTCTTCTGTCGCCAATGGCTGAAGGGATGGTGTAAATCCAGCTAGGGTCCATGCAGGTAGCAAAAGTAATGTAAGTCCCCATGGTTCCTAGTATGGTGATCTACCTACAGTTGTTGGCGATCAATAGCCCGTTTTTATATTGTATTGTCATTTAAAAGTACCATATTTTAGTTTACTTACTAGTTTTACATACATAACTGTGATATTCTAGTTGTTTTACTGTCCTTCGTTGGCAGGTTTTTATAACATACATGTATTTCATTTCATTATCGAATGTTCTCGTCACGATATGGCTGAAATATTGCCGATGTGACGTTAAATAATAACTCACTCACTCACTCACTCACTCACTCACTCCTCACTCACTCACTCACTCACTCACTCACTCCTCACTCACTCACTCACTCACTCACTCACTCACTCACTCACTCACTCACTCACTCACTCACTCACTCACTCACTCCGCTCCACTCACTCCGCTCCACTCACTCCACTCCGCTCCACTCCACTCCACTCCACTCCACTCCGCTCCACTCCACTCCACTCCACTCACTCACTCACTCACTCACTCACTCACTCCTCTGCTCTCCGCTCCGCTCCCCTCCTGTCTACTCCACTCCACTTAGGGTTTAGGGAGCTAAGTAAATTGCCAAGATATTTCATTACAATAATGTGTTGTGATGTCTGTTTTTCAATTCTATTTGAATCCTATATAATTAATCCTGGACATGCCATGATTTCCAAGATATCGATAATTTTCTCAGAGGGTACTATACCCAACGGTAGACATGTACTTGTATCGTTTCAAACATACACCTACTCATTCACAATAATGTTCAGCGAAATGGCCAGTTGAATACATCCATTTCATTAACCAAGGACTCTTAACCCACAGACTTCACGGCCACATGTACATTCATTTACTATTGCTCTGAGTTCGATCCCTGGGCATCTCAGCCCTTTAAAAACATCGCATAATATTCGTGCTTGAGACTTAAAAGATTATCTTCAAATATATGTACCTTTAAGGCAGTGTATGCATTTTTAAGTAGTGTATTAGTATACTGATCATACTGTGTACATTGTATTTTTATATATTCATTTTAGTAAAATAGTGTGTCAAATTCATTGTATTCAGCAGTATAATTGTGTGTATTTCTTTGTACAGATCATTTGATTCCAAATGTTTATTTTAATCATAAACATTTCTGAATAATATTGGTAAAACCTTTTCATGTTGTTTTCAGGCAACATTCTTCGAAAAAAAGTGTGTACATAGATGGATCTGTTTAATTTTCTTACAACTTATATGTACAAAATTAACTCAAGATGAGGAATATAATTTTCTGTATTATGTTACTGAGAGCTGACAATTTTACAAGCACACCTACAGTTGAAAAACAATGGTTTGAACTTTATCAATTATTTCCTCATAATACATTAGAAAAGAATTCGATAATTAATGGCTTTTTCAGTGTCGAAGCGTTAGCGCAGCAGACCCTGGGAACCAGGCTGAACCGTTTTCTGTTTCCGAGTCATCGAAAAATCCACGGAAACTGTCGATGTTTATCGAAGAGAGGCCAAACAGTGATTCGAACTCCTGTGGTTATAATGCATACTATACGCAATATTTTAACAAAGCGCGACACGCGACAATGCGACAACGCGACATTTCATCAAAGCGTTGTCGCATTGTCGCGTCGCGATTTAGTCATTTTTATGCTGTTTTTACACATCTTAGATAGGGCGACAACGTGACATATTTTGACATTGAAAATTGTCGCTACTGCGTTCTTTGGTGGAATAGAAAAATTAGTTTTCAAAACGCGACATGCGACATCGCGAAAATGCGACAAATGGGCGAAATGTCGCGTTGTCGCATTGTCGCCCTTTGGTTAATTTTGCCCCATTTAGATTGTTTTTGAGAGGGCGACAACGCGACAATGCGACAACGCGACAATGTCCCTTCCAGGATTCCAAAATATTGGGTGATATATTGATTCTCACGCTTTGTGTCTGTTGATATTCAGTATGTTAAAACGCGTCGACCAACCTATGATTTACAAGCCTTCATCGACTTGTATTGATAAAGTTGATATCGAAAGAGATCCCAGTGAGAACCTCTATGTTTGAAATGTATATTTTCACTCTGACAGTTTCAACAACGGTTCCTTCAACGACCATGACAACTTCAACTGGTCCGACAACTACTGTGACTACTACGACGATCGCGTCAACCTCGACCACATCATCCACAACATTCACAACATCGATGACTACAAAACCATCACCGACAACAAAGACAAACATGGCTACATCGACGACCATGTAGTCAGAATCGTCAGCGGAAAGTTCAACGTCAACGTCAACGTCAACTCAGTCAACAGTACAGACAGAGTTACCTCCCTCTGACAATAAAACAAAGGCACCCATGACGACCATGCCAATTAAAAGAGGTGAGTGAGGCTTGCCCCACAAACCAAGAATTTTAAAGATAGCCAATGTCAAATGGCGTGGTGCTTATTTCCAATCTAGAATCTGATCCTTATTTTAAAAAAACAACTTCTAAACTATAAACACGTACCTATTTACAGGAGGCAAATCTGTATCCAATATTTTGCTGTCCCGAATCACAGTGTTGCCTCCTCACTTCGACTTCCCATAAACCCAAGTTTATTCGACACTACACATTACCCCATTAACATTGGTACATATTGGTACTTACCATAAGAAATATTTATATATTATATAATATGAACCCATTTAAATTTCTCACTCAGTAACACATGCATTATCATGAGGTAGATATTGATCTACAGTTACAATAATGTACAGTATTCCCCTATCAAATAGAATTTCAGTGTAGGACCACCTGAAGTTGCCATATATCAAATAAGTCGTTATAGTAATAAATACAAACAATTACCGTCTGCAAAAATACTAGTGTTATATTCATGGGTCTACAGTCCCCGAAACACATCTACCATTTTTTTTAAAAAAAGAAACGCATAGGCGTTTTGTATTTTTAAAAATCTATTATTTACTTATTGTGTTCAAACAATAGTTAAAATATGTAACAAAAGTGTTGATAACATGATTTTACACAATTGCACAAGTAAAAAATCGACCTAACCTGAAAATGTTGATTTTGATGAGGTTTCGTACAAGGATAAAAAAGGCATCGCCACAACGCAACAGAAATCACCTTCCAGTTGAAATTGTGCATCAAAGAGCATGCACTGTCTAGATATAAAAATCCAGATTACTTTCGGAAATCGGCATTCGTTTTGAAGGAGTTTCAAGGGCAAATCACTACGCCACGTCTTGACTCTGCGACACGGAACATCGCCGTTGAAAGAATGCACGCTGGAAATTACCAATCTTCTGTTACCAGGCGTCTGAATGTTAGTCTGAGCACATCACGGCTTACAACTCGTTACAACCAAACAGGTACAACAAATGACCGTCCTCGTAAAGGCAGACCTCGAGTCACCACTGCAGCCCAAAATCGGCACATCCGGGTACATTTGCGTGATCGTACTGCCACGGGTGAGAGCACAGCGGCCAGGGTACCTGGACTTTGGAGGATATCCGGTCAAACTGTACAGAACAGGTCGAGAGAGATTGGACAGAGAGCCAGGAGACCCGACGTCTGGACCGTGCTTCGTCGTCACCATCGCGATCAGCACCTCCCTTATCTAAAATTATCCACTCGGTTGTATAGACATTTCCTTTTCTAAACCGATGTAAAAATTCATGCACTAGTCTATTCGTGGACGAGTTATACATGTTTGAAAATGCAACATTTTCGCAACAGATTTCTGACCTATGCGTTTCTTTTTTGGATAGTGTATTTTCTCTCATACATATGTAAATAGTACTAAACATCATTACAGTGCTATCTTGCAGCACTGTCAGAACTGTGATGGAAAGAACTAAAAGAATATAGCCGATCCATTGTAATGTCAGTCAGTGATTATGAGCCTGCATGTAAAATACGCGCCAGAGCTGTTGTGTGTTGTTGATGACATCATCTTGATTCAAAGTCTTGACACAAAAACAACACTACCCACTGGAGAGACCACGAGTCGACCAGCGGGTGCCATACACTCTCCTACACAGGGTTCCATGTCTTGACACAAAAACAACACTACCCACTGGAGAGACCAGCGGGTGCCATACACTCTCCTACACAGGGTTCCATGTCTTGACACAAAAACAACACTACCCACTGGAGAGACCACGAGTCGACCAGCGGGTGCCATACACTCTCCTACACAGAGTCCCATGCAGCCAGCATAGTACCTCCGACCAGGGATAATCTTTAGCCTTATATAGTCTCCCTGCTCTGCCACAGGCCAGAGAGAGTTGATGATTCATCACATCTATATATTTCTTTAGTTTTTACGAGTCTCCACATCTGATTAAACTTCTTTGATAGAATTGTATACTTTCAGTGCGAGCGATCGTTTGTTTACATAGCTAGTGCGGTTCCCTTGCTGACATGGAAGCCCTATGGAGAGCGCGCGATGCAGTCACTTTAATGTATAAATGTGTATTGTTATAAACATGACTGTCTCTGTTGTAGAAAAATATCTATATAACAATATACAACAATGTCAAGAGCGCACGGAAAAGCTTGCACGATGGCAGTCTCTTCTGGTTTACAAATATGCGTGTTTGTTTACAATACAAAAAAGTAGGGTCACGTGATATGCAAATTAGGCAGTGATGTTATGCTTTTTTATCACTGCGCCGAACTGTATGTGCCATGTTGTTTTGGTCGAAACAGATTCTATTTTATTGACAACTACTTCTGATGCAAAGAATGTAATTCAGAAAATTTGACTGGAAATCAAACTCTAATTTAACAACTTAGCCAGAGGTTGATTTTGGTTGGGTATTGTTTTGAAAAATATACGAACAAGGGTAGATTTTTTGCCTTCTAACAAGGGCACAAACACTTCTGGCTTCATCGACATCATCTTCACAAACTCTTCAATGATGCTATTTCCTAACATATATTACTTCTTATACCACTTTTGTAATGTATTTATCCCGGGTTTTTTGTGCTTGCATAACCATGAACGGGTTCATGTGGATTATCGAAATGATCTTTTATTGATGATAAAATATCTTGCAGACGTAGGAGATGACTTGACCTGTGATGAGACATGCCCCTACAAACGGAGTGACAAATCTGAGTCGATTTCAAAGTATTGAATACTGCAATATTGTCTGATACATTGAGTTGATATGTGACCCTGCTTGAGAAATTGTTGAGTTGTTTCTACTCACAGACGAATGGCGAATTTACCACTGGTGATATGATACGTGGACATTCTCCCTGGAGACGTTACTGAGGGATATTAAGCCAACTTCCAACAATTTTCACTTCACATTTCATGTGCAGAATTTTAGGTTTTTTGAGGAGTTTGAATTGAGACAAGATAATGTTTACAGCTACGGGTGCAAGATCAGTTGCATTTCAAAGAAAGCTATTGTATAGTTGGGGTTTTAAAGAAAGAGAAAAACAACCAGCAACAAAGTATTATTGTGTTATTTCAATTTTACAACAGTCTGAAGAATAATACTTTATATTAGGCCTTATATTAGATGCTTTTCGATATATATGAATGATGTAATAATACTGAGTCCTGTTACATGTTTGATAAGTATACAAATGATTGAAAAGGATTCTTGTTACAAATTTGTTTGACCGCGTCATACCAAAAGACGTTAAAATATGGTACTTGTTGGTCCCTGCCTGGCGCTTGGCATTAATGGGTACAACAATGACTGGTCGGCTCGGAGCCAGTATAATGTGTTGGAATGGGGAATCCATGCTTAAATGTGGCGTGGTATCTCAGTGAGCTGGCACTATAAAACTAGCTTAAGTCTGGTCTAGTAACAACCACGTCGTCATATGAGCGAAATATTCTTAAGTACGATGTTAAACCCAATTTCACCTCACCTACAAATTTGTTTCCTTTCACATTCCAGCCCTGAGTTCAACGTCACCCGTAGCTGATAGAAGTCCATCCTTTGACTTCGCCCTGATAGCGGCAGGAGTGGTCGGCGTCATCGTCCTTCTGGTAGTGGTAGTCTGCATCGGCAAAGCCGCCAGAAGACGCTGGAGGGATCCCTATGTGTGATGGACAGTGAAAAACTGAGACATTTTGTGAAGCTCTGATTATAATTAGGTTTTTGTTATAAATGCTCAGCGCTGTTGAAGAGGCGCGTATATTGTCTCATTTCATATACGGGCGAAATACCCACTGGGTTATGAAAATAACAAGCAATTCGGTTATTGTATAATGTGAATGAATAGAGAAATAACAATAAAATTGATTATCAACCCACGTTTTGCATTGTAGACACCATGAATAATATAGCGGTAGTACAAATTGTCTTATCCGAACCTTTAAAGGGTGGAATATATATTGTATACTTTTATTCCTTAAGATATACTGTTGATTAGAAACTACCAACACCACACGTGGTGAGCATGACAGACGGATACGTTCTTAAAATCTTTCCTCAAGCATACATTCTTTACAAGGTTGTGTTAGTACACACGGAATTACGAGAGTCCATGTGGCATGAAACAAACTATAAACAAAGTAATTTTAACAAAGGATGTTAGATAAAACTGTATACATTTAAATATATAATAAACAGAAATAGACTAACTGCCAGTACTTTCCTTAAAATATGATCGCAGGTTGTGACAGTTAAAAAGGACAGTTAAGGTTATGACAGTATAAAACTAACATTTCTGTATTCGCTAAAGGACATAAAATCAATTGGTTAAACCTGTTAGAAAGATTTACACGTTCAATATGACATGTTGGAGTTTTTCAGGCCATCCTGTCGCTCTCGCACACTCAAGTAGTGTGGTTTTAAGGTGGTTTGACCAAGATATTCTTGGTCGGGTTCTGTGCCTTCCCCTGGGGCAAGTCCCATCTCCAGTGTGGTTGGTGTAACTACCGGAAGAAGGCTGACTGGACATTGCAGTAAAACGTGATATTCATCTTCAATGAAATCCTCTCAATACTTATCATACAATGTTATCTCAGCCTTAATGTATTTAGATGAACTCATTGGCATGTTAATCGCATCATGTTTTATGAGAGGTTTATCGTAACCACAGCAGTGTCCATCATATACTCTCAAAAATCTAGGAATATGCGAACAATCACAGATGATTATGGTAGCAGTAGGGAGTAAAATGATTAAAGCGTCCATTCGTCACACCAAAAACCCGGGTTCTGTTCCCCATATGGTTACAATGTAAAAAGCCCGTTCCTTGTGTCCTCGCTGCGCCATTGCAGGAATAAGTCAAAAAGCGCGTAAAACCATACCCACTCCCTCAATGTTAATAGCTGGATAACACCGTAAAACCATACCCACTCCCTCAATGTTCATAGCTGGATAACACCGTAAAACCATACCCACTCCCTCAATGTTCATAGCTGGATAACACCGTAGAACTATACCTACTCACTCAATGTTAATAGCTGGATAACACCGTAAAACCATACCCACTCACTCAATGTTAATAGCTGGATAACACCGTAAAACAATACCCACTCCCTCAATGTTTATAGCTGGATAACACCGTAAAACCATACCCACTCCCTCAATGTTAATAGCTGGATAACACCGTAAAACCATACCCACTCACTCAATGTTAATAGCTGGATAACACCGTAAAACCATACCCACTCACTCAATGTTAATAGCTGGATAACACCGTAAAACCATACCCGCTCACTCAATGTTAATAGCTGGATAACACCGTAAAACCATACCCACTCCCTCAATGTTAATAGCTGTATAACACCGTAAAACCATACCCACTCACTCAATGTTAATAGCTGGATAACACCGTAAAACCATACCCACTCCCTCCATGTTAATAACTGGATAACACCGTAAAACCATACCCACTCAATCAATGTTAATAGCTGGATAACACCGTAAAACCATACCCACGCAATCAATGTTAAAAGATTGATAACACCGTAAAACCATACCCACTCAATCAATGTTAATAGCTGGATAACACCAAGGGGGACTACGTGTAAGAGTCAAGACAGCATGTTGGCCTTGTATTGTTATTTTGGAAACACAAAAAAGATGAGAGCGGATGTTGTGAACAAACGAAGGTTGAAGACTTGGTTTGTGATGGGTCCTGCCCGTACAAATAGTCAAATATTCGTTTGTATCGTGTGGTATGGCAAATCAATCTCCAAAATGCAATTTGTATATTCCTCCTGCAGTACCTTACCCTAGTTAGGCTGTCGGGGCAGGATGCCTTTTGTGTGACCTAAGTGTCTTCATAAATAGTGCATTTAAGCAAGAACAGAGACCTAAGGTGATACTGTGAATATTGAAAATCATGAATAAAATGACGGCAAAAATCATGGTTTTAAGCCACTTTAGTTAAAACAAAGAAAATACAGATGTATGAAGTAGAATGTATTGAAAGGGGCAAAATCTCATCGAAATCAAAACCCAAAATGACAGTCATACATTTCAGCATTATGGACAATGGGCACACATCTAAAATAGCTCAACGACACGTCATATCAATATCATATATGTGTTTGATTGGCATTTTAGAAGATGCTATTTGATGAACATAGATACTTTTCTGGGTTTCATCTTCTATTTACTGTTTGGTACAACGTTTCAGGGCTTGTTCTGGCCTCGTCAGGAAGAACTAAAGAACAGTAACTGTTAACTCTGTCCGTGACGCCACAATGATTATGACGTCACAATGCTATGACGACGCAATACATGTGGAGGTCATGATGGATAGAGCTAATAGGGCTAATATGAATACATGTTATCATGAATATATAAAATATTGTTTACTGCAAAATTATTGGATTAACTTAGAAATGTACAGACACCTTTTATACAAAATTGTTAATTAATTTAGAAATATCCAGATACTTATTTATAAATGTATAGAATGTAAAGTAATCGCAGTGCATACATAAAAAGGATGGTTTAAACATGGGAACAGTGGAGTATTGTCTATTGTTTTATTGACCATGCATTCGGGAGGTACACACCCTGATCCCTGTTTATTGCTGGCTTTGTACGTTTGATGAAGATGGCTTCAATCAACTCACTAACGGACGCCAACGAAAAGCCGACTGTTAAACCTAACACAGCAACAGCTGCCTTTTTCAGTTATTTCGCCGTTATTACATTTATAAAATTCCAGCGATCATCCGTTTGTAACTTGTTCACTCTCCAGGATTATAGTTAAGTTTCTGGAACCTGATCTCCTTGGTAGCCAGAGTATGGATACTGGCTTTTTCAGTTATTTCGCTGTTATTAAATTTATATAATCATTATTTATTATTATTATAGGATATTTCTATAGCGCGCATATCCAGGCAACTAGTGCATGCTCAAGCCGCTGGTAGTTTTTCCCTCGATCATTGGATGTCAATCTCAACGGCACATCATATTATCAATCTCAACTCCCTGGGGAGTATACAACTCTTGCAGCCACTAGGCGCACCGAGTTATTGTGGCTTTCGAGAAAATGAAATGATTTTTTTACCCATAAAATAATGGAACAATCCATTTACCGGTCACTGACGGGTATGTTGTTCGGTTTGGAGAAAGGGTAATTGATGCAATTTCACTTAAATTAAACATCATGATATTGGTGATAATGAATGGCAAGTTACAGTTTCAAAACTGTGGTTGGTCCTAATAATCCAGTGGGGTACATAAAGATATATACAATGAGTCAGTTGATTAAACTCCTGATAAATTAAAATGGGAACCAACAGCACCCACACAATGGTAAATGTTCAGCATGTTGAATTCATCACTTCGCAAGCAGCAGGAGAGCAAGTACAGTGTATTCTACCATGACTTCAGTAAATACTGGCTTGTGATTGGTTAATTTAAACCATTCAGAGATATATAATCACGTTATATACCTCTGATTTTCCAACACAGTACGTATTTTTTTAAATCTTAATAACGCGGTTATGGTAGTATGGATATAAACATACTGTGTGCTTTCTGCATGCAAGGGCCGCTGTTCCACAAGTGGAGATTAAATCTACAATGCAATACAACCACGCCCCATTAGAATGACTTCACTCTTTCCTGTAGGAATCTGGACACAGTCCGGCAATACTGGGCCAAGGACAAATAACCATCTTGAGGGGTGGCATCATAAGCTGAAGAATTATATTGACATTTTATCGATTCCAATGAATGAAATGCACCCAGAAAGAATATAGATACCTGCTACCTAGTAACACTATTTTTTTGTCATTTTCCCCGTATTGCCTGTTATTGACTTTTGGTCAAGTTCATTTTAGTAAAGGTAGAATAGGTCAGAACAATAGATTGTTCACCTTTCGCCTACATCCCAAAGGTGTATTCTCTTTTTGCCTGGACTTTAATTGGCTATAAGCGGATTAGGATTAACAGTCCAGTGCCTGCACAATTATAGTCTGTTCAAGTAAGTGGAGTTCATTACCGGCACCTAGAAGAAAGAATTGAACTTGAGAAACATAGTGTCCTAACTGGTCTCACTGCTTGTTTATGGTGATGCCGTTAATTATCTGGTGGGATTGTGAATGTGATTATTATGTCATGTGAGTGAGTGAGTGAGTGAGTGGGAGAGTTAAGATTGACAGTCACATCGGCAATATTTCAGCCATATCGTCACTTTAAAAGTTATAAACTGATAATAAATGGAATTAAATTTCAAAAGCCTGTCGACGAAGGACAATAATATTATGCCATGTGAAACAGATTATACAATTGTATGTAATTATATAATGCACAGTGCACATAAATATTTATTTCCTGGTGTGACATTTAACGCTTATTTTGTGTATTTGCTGAATTATAATTTCATCATATTTGTCAGATAATTCATTTCCGTATATTTGTACATATGCAATATTGTGCATGCATATTATGTTACATGCAATATTAGTAAAATTAAAAATGTCACCATATTTTCAAATGATTCATATTCGTATATTTGCGGATGCCAAATGCAATGAACAAAAAGTGATAAACATTACTGTTCACCAGCAAGTGCTGGCATACTTGCATTTTTACAACAGACTATAGTTCTAGTCCCCATTGTTGGAAGGATTAGTACGGTCCAGCAATTTTGATCCCTTAACAATACGTGCAGGCAAACAGAGAACACCACATCCCAATTCGCCTACAGTCTTAAAACAGCATTCCATAGTCTGTTTACTGATGATGATGCAAAGATAAACTAGTGTCACCCCTGTGATGTAAGAGTGGACTCTTCTAGTTGAAGTAGTTGGACAAAAAGACTTTATTCATTTCTGTTTCTTGTCATTTTCTGTTGACAGGAAAGTAGCAATGTATCACTGGACAAATCGTCCACTGATAG